TTTCACACTAATTGTTTTCTATTGTCTATGTTGTCATATCATATCCTAAATGAAATTGCAGCGTTACGCCTGTCGCAAAGTGACTCAGAGAGTAGCGCCCCCCAGTGAATGGCTATTGTCGCATAATCTGCCACTGTGAATTTCTTATTTTATTTAATAAACATGTTTTGCAGCAAGTCAAATAATAATAATAAAGGCATAATATGGAGTAAAGAAGCAGATTACTGTTAGACGCAGGTTAAGGAGGTTTTTCTGTAGAGATGGCTCCTGTTCTAATGGGACTGAATCTACAAACTACCTGTAAAAAAAAATCTTACCTCAAACTGCACTTTGGATGTAGCTACACTCTCTACGTTAAGACAGATGATCTTCCTGGATGCTGTAGCGGTCACTACTCCTCCAGTGTTTGCGTTCTTTCGCTTCCTTGCATCATCAATTAAATGGTTCTGACAACTTGACTCTGCTCAGACTTTAAGATGAATTATTCCATGCTTTTACAGACCAAGCTATTGTAATTCAAAATTAAGACTTAATTAAACCGTCCAAACAGGTCATTAAAGCGGTGGAGATCCTCAAAAGAGCTTCGAGGTTTGTTTTTTTTACTTTCGCTGTTGGTTTCGCTTTAGGGCAGTAACTTATCATGAATGTTTTGTTAATGACTGACAATAATGAGTGTTTTCCCATGATTCATGATGTGTCATCAGTTACTTTGTGTTTAATGGCTAACTATTTTAGCCAATGTTGCTTGTTGGATCGAGAAATGCAATAGTTTAGATCACGGGTGTCAAACTCATTTTTACCAGGGGCCCTGTCACCCCTTCATTCTCCCTCGGAAAAATTGTAACAATGATGCGGGTATAGATTTTTGAAAGAATCCTTAAATTACATATTCCTAAAGGTATTTTGCTATTAGAGTAAAAATAAATAAATAAATTTTCTGGGCAATACAGAAAACTTGCTTCCTGAGGCAGTACTTTTCACAGTAAAATAACAAATCCGCATTCAGCTAAAACTACGTAGAACCGCAGTATAATTTTTTGTAGGACAACAAAACATATTTTTGGAACCGAAGATAAATATTTGAAGAGTATCAGTAGCTGCAATGAGCCAGTACTCCACTGCACACATTTGCAGGAATAACAAGGACAAACTCTGCTAAAAACAAGTACAGATAAATAAATAAATTGGTCTCTGTGGATTTAGTCACTATCGCAGTCAGTCATCAGTGGCTGCAGAGCAGTTTTAATTTTGCAGCCCTGTTTGAATTGATAACACTGACGCCGTATCACAGTGGGCAGTTTTTCTTCCACGGTACAACTCTGTATGTGGTTTAGTGATTGTATTTACTGTGTTGAAGCAGTTTTCCTGCTTTTTGGTATTTACATTTCTTTTTTTTAATTAATGGTTTACTGGTGCGAATGGAGTAAACCATGGGTGTCAAACTCATTTTGGTTCAGGGGCCACATACAGCCTGATTAGATGTCAAGTGGGCCGGACCAGTACAATCATAACATAATTACCTTTACATAACAATAAGTCCATGTTTTTCTCTTTTGTTTTCCTGCAAAGATACAAGTACATTAGAAAGTATTCATATTTAATGAAAATATTTTCACACGCTTTGAACCCTGCGGCCTAAACAATGATGTAACTAAATAATGGATTTTTACGGGCTAACGAAGTTCATACCACTAGCGACCAAACTTTTCTGGTAGGCTACTGTGTGTTATACTAGTAGCGTATGTCTGTCTGTGAATGGCTGTGTGCGTAGAGAGAGAACGGTAGCGAAAGTTTAGAGCAGTTTGAGCACCGTCGTGTTGAAGCGTGAGTTGGTTATACTATAAAACGCTGTTAACGCTGATAATAAAGACTTCCAGAAACTTCCCTGTTTCTGTTTACCTCTGCTGCGGACAAGCACAAAGTGAAGGGGGTTAGCCCCCGAGCTAATGTTAGCTTCACTGAGTCTCCCTTGTGTATTTGTATAACTACAGTCAGGGCGCTGAAGCAGAAAAGAGCTAACCAACTTGTAACCAACATTGACTGTTCAGAAAAAAGCATTTATTTAATTAAAAGTGAAAAAAAAAATCTTTCTGTGTTAATATACCATGTTACAACATGGACACCTGCAGTTTATAGAGAAGTGTGGTCTATATATGTCCAATCATTTTTTTCTTTTTAAAGTTCAGTGGGTGTGGCTTATATTCAGGTGCACTCAATAGTCCGGAAATTACGGTAATTTGACAAAACATCACAAACACATTTCTTTTTATTTCAAATTCATCAAGAGAGTCAGATAAAAATAAGCCAATTCAAAGGGATGTGTCTTCTATTAATGCAAATCATTTTCATTCATGCTGCTAAAATGAATATAAAAATAGCCAATCCAACAGAAATGGTTACTGTCTTACTTTACCTAAAGCAGTAAAATCATGGTATGATCAATATAATGATGATAAGATGTGATCAAATTACTGTAATTACGTACAATAAATAGTGAACCCCGCACAAATCCAGCCATTATACGATATCTCAAATGACACAACAATGATTTTGTGGAAGTAGGTTGTACTTTCCGATGGGAGAGTTTAAACAGTGATAAATAAGTACATTTGTAAACCCGCTCCCTGAAGTCTCTCGTTTATAGACATTTGAGATAAAGCACAGAAGACCATTTGTTAAATAGTTTTAAGAAAAAAAATGCCTTTGTAATATGACCCTCCCATTGATAGTAAATGTGCGCTCAGACGGGGCATTTAAAAGATTTGAAAAAAAAAAGTAGCAAAAACAATAATGTTTCGCGTCTGTATAGAGCAATGAAAACTAAACATTTTGTTATCGAATCTATAAAACCTGTTATTGTTTTCTTTTTTATGAATTTTTTAATGTGTTCACACATATTTACACCCGATAACTTTTGCATGGAATTTCCCATTTCCATTTGCAACAACAGATGCCGAAACTAATCAGGGTCGCATATCACATAAGACAGGAGTTTAAAATAAAAAAAATAAAAAAAATTTTTGTTCTCATTTTTTTGTTTATTTTGTTGGTTAACAATTCAATGTGAGCAGTATTGATTAAAAATTCCGTTTTTTATATATATATACTGTATATAAAGTTTTCCTTTTTTTTTTTTTACTTGCTCGACCAGTGAAATTCAAATCTATTGGCCAAGTGGGTCACTTGGCCAACAAAAATGTAATTTGCTATTTTTAAAGCCGGGGTCACCAACCTTTTTGAAACTGAGAGCTACTTCAAGGGTACTTAGTACTACGAAGAACTACTTGTTTGATACGGACTGAACGACGTAACAATAATTAGTTCTGGGATAATTAGTTCATACAACAGCAGACACTCTTCTAACCATCGTCATTTGTATATCATCGCAAGCGGAGCTGATTCAAAAAGTACAATAACAATACAATACATTTTTGACCCTCTTGTTGACTGGTTTGATTTGTAGAATATACCCTGTGGGCACTTTAGGTAGTCCGTAGGGGGCTACAAAGTGCCCCCGGGGCGCCCCGTTGGTGACCCCTGTTGTAAAGAAAGTAGGTAAACATGACTGGATCGCTCTCTATACATGCATTCGTTTCCTGCGTGAAACAACAAACATTCTTGTCGACGTTCTTTCTCCCTGTCTTTCGGACGTATGTTCTGTAAAGTCGACTTTACAGAACAGACTTGTATTATGTGCTCGTAAAACGGCTCAATCTCTGGAGCCTTGTTATTTTTGTCAGCTCCGTCTCCAGAGCAGCAAAAATACCAAACACTTAGTCTGGGACAGTAAAGTAACAAAAAAATCAGCACTGAGTAGTGAGTCACCCAGATGTATGTGTGTGTTTGCAGATGCGAAGCGTGTGATTCAGTTTATCACTTTGTATACGTTTTCTAAGTTCTAATAACAAAGAGCTACCAGCTATCGGAGCATCTCACCACTGATGCCTGACCATAGCACTTTAACATTAAAAAATTGGTTCTCACACCCGGGATTTAATCACAATATTGCAATGAAAAGTGAATGTGAACTACTTGTCATTGTGACACAATGCACACCACTACAATTCACAACCAAATGTGACCTCTGCTTTTAACCCATCACCAAAGTCAGCAGGGGGCAGCTTAATCGCCCGGGGAGCAGTGTGTGGGGACGGTTCCATGCTCAGTGGCAACTTGGCCCCTGGTCTGCTCATTAACCACCATTAAGTCACCACTGCCCCGTTGAATCAATACTAGGGATGGCTTGATACAACTTTTTCCTGTTCAATACTGGTACTGATACTGCAACTTGGAGTATCTGCCAAGGACGATATCAATCCGATACCTTCTTTTGCAAAGTCAAGTTGGCTTTGGTATCAGATTGAGTGGGCTATAGTTGTTTTTTTTTTTACGTTGCTTAATACTAAAATGACCAATATCGGACCGATACTGATGCTGAATATCGGATCGAGCCATCCATAATAAATACTAGTACAGTGGAACCTCGAGATACGAGCAAGCCACCGAGCAAATTTCTGCTCCGAGATATAAGTAAAGACACAACTGTCCTGGGAACACCTCGGGATCCCTCCAGAAAAGCTGGAGGAAATGTCTGGGTATAGGGTATTCTGGGCGTCCCTGCTCCGACTGTTACCCCCGCTACCTGGCCCCGGATAAGCAGAGGATGATGGCTGGACAAATCAGAAAAAGCAAAAAAATAAAAAAATGAAAAGTTAAAGAAAAATACGTAAGTTAAGTTAATTCTAAGTTTATGTAAGTGATGAAGTGTACTCGGTCCTGGAACGGATTATGCTCATATCTCGAGGTTCCACTGTACATGGATGTAACATTTAATTCTTGTCAAGGCATGTTATTGTACTGTTATTAATCTACTGATTGATGAATTCACCTTTTATCTCTCTCCTTTTCCCATCCCCTCTCTCACTGCCATCCATACTATCTACCCAACCCATCTTTCCTGCCACCTTTGTTTTCCTGCCACCATCTCTTCACACTTCTAGCTCTTAAGGATGACCGCTTCCAGATGGTACTCTTTACTCCACGGCTGGTGCGCATCACCCTGACCAATGTCAGTGTTAACGATGAGGGCGGCTATTTCTGCCAGCTTTACACGGATGCCACGCACCACCAGGTGGCAACGCTGTCCGTACTGGTGCCCCCGGAGACGCCCACGGTGGAAGTGAAGCAGGACGCCGTGGAAGGCGGCGAGGCAGAGCTCATCTGCATGTTGCCACGCAGCAAGCCAGCAGCCACCCTGCGCTGGATCCGTAATGGCCGTGAGATACCAGGTATTTGGCAGACAGATGGGGTGATCGATGCTAAGAGGAATGTGGTGTATAAATTAGTGAATAAATGAGCGAGGTATCATGGAATGGTGTTGAGTGAAAGAGGGATGGATGGGTTATTAATGTGCTGATGGGGTGAATGACAGATGGGCCACTTAATGGGAGGGAAAAGACTGATGGACGGTGAGATGGAGTAAGACGAAAAGGGTTTTAACTTCAGGGTTACTCTTCCTCTTAGTGTTCAAAAATTCAAACAAGAACACATTTTAAAATCATTTTAGGATCGAAATAGTAAACTTTTTTTCATGTTAGTTGTTAAGTCTATTACGTTAAGTATATAACGGATCTTCGATAATAAAGGCTGATCGAAATTTTTGGCGCCATGTTAGCATAATTATGTAATATCCGTAAGAATCATTGTTGTTTTTTTTCTTGCAATAATGATTATGATAATGATACAAATAATGTGCGACCTAAAAATTGTTTTGGGGAAAAACAGCTGTATATGAACGTGAAAGCCACCAGATGTCAGCATTGCCAACAACCAACAACTCATACAGATAAATGCAATAATGAAAACCCGATAAGGCAATGCCTGGGTCGTCAAATCAACAACTCATACAGATAAATGAATAAATGCAATAATGAAAACCCGATAACGCAAATCCTGGGTCGTCAAATGATGTGCGACCTAAAAATTGCTTTGGGGAAAAACAGCTGTATATGAACGTGAAAGCCACCAGATGTCAGCATTGCCAACAACCAACAACTCATACAGATAAATGGACAAATATTAACAGGCCCTTAATGGTATATCATTTTGGGGGGGGTTAAAAAAGAAGAAGCAAAAGAGTTAATATTGGACATCTCTACAGCAAAAAGTTAATATTGGACATCTGTACTTAATATGTATTCTTTAAACATTTAGTTTAAAATCTAACTGCCTTCGCTCTGATGGAAGGTAAACTTAAACAATCGAATTTTGCACGCTGTTTTTACCATGTTCGTAGTCTTATAGAACTCCCCTATAGCTGATGAGGGTGTAAAATGGGAAGCGGAGTGAAGTCGAACTAGGGAAGGTGAGTTCAATTATCTGGAGGCAACGATCCAAAACAATGGACAGTGCAGACAAGCAGGAGAAGAGCGTACAGGCAGAGTAGAATTGATGGAGCAGGGTGTCAGGGGTGATGTGTGACAGAAAAACAGCCGCTAGATTGAAAGGGAAGGTCTCTAGATGGTAATAAGAGCTGCTATGATGTATGGTTTGGAGACAGTGGCACTGGCTAAAGGAGACAGGGCGCCGTCTCGCAGAGTTAAAGACGCCGTGGGTTCGGTAGCAACCAAATCACTGGAGGTGTTTGGAGATACGGTTTAGCGAAGTAGCATAATAATAGCATTACTGTTATTAAGAGAAAACAATCAGAATCTGAAGGAAAGGTTCAAAATAGTCATATAACCTTTTGAAACTCATTTTGAAATTTCAAAAAGTGTCACTGAAAAGGTTAATTAATATGAACGTCTGTTGTTTGACGTTAGTGGTTTGATGAAATGGTCGAAACATTGACAAAGTCATTAAGGATTTTGGTGAGGATTTTATCATCTTAAATACTGTATTTTACAAAAATCTGCGGCTCAAAGTGAATCAATTTTTGCTTAAAATCCAAATGTTCTCCTTTCTCCTTTTTTATGGGAGTTGAAGTTACAGTATGGTCTTATTCCTGTGAAAATGCTGTACTACGTTTAGGATTTTTTATATGCTTATGAACACGTGAAAAAACCCCAAAAAACAAGTCTTAATTTTCAGGAAAAAGTAAGACGAAAAAACATTTTCCTGAGTTAACAAACACGTTCGATGACCTGAAGTTATTCAACATATTATTAACAGATGATTAAAACATCAACTTCCATTTCAAAGTACAGCAGAAAAATGTATGTTCATCATACATATATAAATACTTTAGTATTTCTGTACATGATGATATGAAGTTTTCTCCTTTGTTTTCATGCAAACAAGTGCAAGTTTGTTCGATAATATTCATATTTAGATAAATATAATTTTACTCATCATATCCCCAACATAATGTGTTTGTGTATTTTTTTTTTTTCAAAATGAATCCAGCGGGCTGGTTTTGGCACCGGGGCCGTATGTTTAACACCCCCACTTTAGATGTTCTTAAACAAGATAAACAAATAAGCCCTATTTTTAATTTACTATTCTTCTGCGAATCCGCTAGGTATCCAACAGAGTATCAACTTTTAGCCAGTTTTTTTTTATATATTATTATTATTATGCTAAAGGGGAATTTCTTTAAATGACACATCCAGACCCAGTTTTTCCTGTTGCCTTTGGTGTCTCTAACATTAACCACAGGGAACGCGTCTGTGTGTTAACAATGGGGTTTGATTAAAAACTCCTCCGCGTTATTTGCGTTCAGCTGACTGAGCACAACAAACTTGGGGGAAACTTTGGAGGCTGTGTTATGCAAAGTGTCTCTCGCCGAGGCTTGTGGCTATTTTTTGTTTTAATTAGACATTTCTGAGCTCCTCTGAAATAAACACTCCTGTTTTGCATTCACGCGCCGCAGATTTGATTGACTCACCTGCAGATGAGTGAAAATGCAGACACGCCAATTGCATCTTTTTCTAATTTCACATCAACCTTCAGTTTTTTTTATTTTTTTTATTTTAGACACCCATCTTCATAATTAATCCTCATGTCCTCTCTCAGTGTCATAATATTTCCGTGCCCTCTCCTCTGTTTTGCCTTCCCGAATATTTCTTTTCTTTGAGCTCCTGTTAAAACAAAGCTGTGATACGTCTTCAAGGCTTTTCTATTAAAATTAGTTTAAAAGGACATGACAGAGACGGGATTCGTTCTCCGTCCTCTGTTACCTTGATCTTAACTGCTTTCCTTCGTCTTTCTCCTCGACTCTTTCCTTTGTGTTGAATTAAAAAAATGAACTGTGACACTCCAGATTACGGGCAGATCCCAAAAGTTATAGCGCAGAGTTCCTTCATTAAGACACTATCTTCTGGCCGCTCCCCTCATTGTTGCTCATCTGCTGACTAACTCTCTCCCCCTCTGATGTGGCTGACCTTCATTTTCACACCAGCAATAATTGAAAACTCATCGCAATATGAGTATGATTGTTATATTTTTCACCAGCGAGCATAAGCTCCTAATACGTGACCATGTCAAGTCTGGTTAGTTTGGCCTTGATGTTGCCCCCCCCCTCCCCCCCCCCCCCGCCCCCCCCCCCCCCCCCCCCCACTTTGCATCCATCTTTTCAACCTTGTCCCTCTTTCATGTCTGGACGTGTTCCACCATCACGTCTACTTTGCTGCCCTCTTCGTCTGTCTGGGTCCTCCTCTCCCTTTGCCTCTCTTCTCCCACCCTTCCTCCGACGCCACTCCGGCTCGGCGTGTCTGCCTCGGTTAAAATCTCAATTCATTTACGCGTATTCTCTCTTTCATCGCTCTCTCTGTCACTTTCTTTTCTCTCACACAAACAAACAGACACAAAACATTCAGTTGATTTAGCGGCAACAAATAAACACTTCTGCGGTTCATAATTGCTGTGAAGTATAGATGAAAATTGCTTTCACTTCTCACTCACTCCCCCATTTGCTTTCCTCCACCTACAACCCCCCCCCCACCCCCCCCCCCCCCCCCCCCCT